AGCAGGTCAAAACACACAGATTAAGAGCGAGTCAGTTGTCATAATCTTCATCAGGGTTCGAGTTATAAACAGATTGCGCACCTTGGCGGTGCAGTGCAGGCATGCTGTCATTCAAGAGATGCGTAGTTCTTTTTGAAAACATGTTTTTCTTTTAGCCTATTTACCTCGTTAACGTAAATAATACTCATTACATTGACACATGCATTATTTGTGATTAAAATAATGGTTGTTGCTCATGTATTAGCGACCCCCACGTATGATTTCACTGCGTCCGTGGGAGCTCAGACCCCTCCTTATGGGAGCTCAGCTCCTATTGGCTCCCATATAACTCGAACCCTGATCTTCATCACAGAGGTGAACAAGCACTACAAAGCAAGCGAGCACACTCGAGCAGAAGCACAGCTATGCAGAGATGAATGCACTCGTATGATCGTATCACATCCCGCGACTCCCTCTTGTCCATCTGTCCTGAGGGCGTGCTGCGCTGTTGTTCAGAGACTGGCAGGTTACGTCACCTTGAACAACGGTTTCATTTCATAGGTTGATTTACAAGTTATACAACCCAGCACAGATAAACAGGGAGGAAACTTAGCTGGTAAAATAGAAAAGAGACAATGATCAACATAAGCTGAAAATAAGTTTTGAAAAGTCAGAAAATACTCAGGCAACAGAGCTGAGATATCCTCTGGGGAACCCTCCTGGTTATCAAGTAGAAGATATTATGCTATAAAGGACTGATGTATTAATTAGCTAAATGAAATGTCAATAAAGGCTTTAGAGATTGTTGAAATCAATGCCAACTGTCTGACTCTCCCCCTGTACCCTCCTCTTTCTCGTCATCCTATCTCAACCATCCGTCCCAATTATCCCCTCTTCTCCTCAACACACACCCAGGCACACACTCTATCCGGAGTGTTGAGTGTAAACTGTGATGAAAGACATTAGCGGTGATCAGTGGGAGCACTTTGCAGTGGTCAGCAGGAATGGTCCAGTCTTAGGACTTTAGTATTCAGCAGCACTCACCTGCTCACTCTCAAACGGTTGCCTGATGGCTGACTCAGTGTGTGTGTGTGTGTGTGTGTGTGCGTGTGTGTGTGTGCGTGCGTGCGTGCGTGCGTGTGTGCGTGCGTGCGTGTGTGTGTGTGTGTGTGTGTGTGTGTGTGTGTGTGTGTGTGTGTGTGTGTGTGTGTGTGTGTGTGTGTGTGTGTGTGCGTGTGTGCCTCCACATTAAACAAATGATTTTGAGGGACTGCAGCATGAGGGGCGTTGACTCTTAAATAGCTTTTCTGACGATCTAAGGCTCAATAACTCTAGAGCAGCTTTCAAGCCTGTGTCGCAAACACCTTTTTTAATCTAAAACTAACATTTAACTTTTCTTTCTGAAATTAGTTGAACTCCATAAATGTCAAGATGCTATAACCAGCTTGTTGGTTCCCCGGGAGTTCTTTGATGGTGAGTGTGTCACTTATTATTATGATCATCATTAACAGCGCACAATGATTCCTTGGTATCGCGTTTATACCATGAGCCAACTGGCAAGCCAAATGGTGAGCCAGTTGGCTCATCTCACCTCTGTCCCCTCATGATGGCTTAATATCTGCAGCTAAGTACTTGACTCAATCCAAACGTGGCCGTGTTTTTGTGCAGCTAAATACTTGTTTCAAGATAATTGTTCAGGGCATATGTTTAAATGCCACCTCATTTACATAAACACTGTTCAGCTCCCTGCGGAATCAATGAAAACACAAGGGTGCAAACGCAGTGCCACACACACACACACACACACACACACACACACACACACACACACACACACACACACACACACACACACACACACACACACACACACACACACACACATATGCGGCGGCATCTTCACACTCACTTTGACACCGCTGTATGGCCTGCGATTCATCTGTTTTGTGGAACGGCAGTGAAATATACATCAAAGTGGTACTCAGAAGATGAGCAGCTAAGTATGCACACACAAGGCTATAATATTCACAGAGGGAGGCGTTTGGAGACAGAGGAAAGTGGATCGGAGGTTTTCTGGACATGACAGCAATGAATACTCAGTTTGGATCTGTTTGTATGAAGTATGATGCATTAAAGGTCTCCTTTCATGCAAAATGCTCTTTTTTATGTCTTGTATATGTGTCCCCGGTGTGTCAGGAAACTCACAAAGTGTCAGAAAACAAACTCCTCTCTCTTTTCCTCCGTACCCAAATCTCTAAACACCGGGGTACAACGGAGCTGATCCAGATTTGCTGCCGATATGACTTAATATCGGAAATGTGGACTGGCTTTAAACCGCGGCCCTCTCAGAAACCTATGGTCTTTGTTTACATTAGCAAGCATCGCTAACAGAGCTAACCTGAGAGAGTATGTGTAAAAAAGCTAAGGACCCAGAATCAGCACTTCTCTAGCAGGGCTAAAATAGAGGGGTATGAGGGATGGCTAGAATGGGTGATCTGTTTGGTATTTTGAGCAAAGCACATGTTTTTATATATTTTGATATGTGAGAACCATAATATATGCATAACAAATAGCATGATAGGAGATCTTTAAGGCTGAACCTGCCCTCTCTGCACTCTCCTGTCGTCTCTCCTCCTATGCTGAATCCAAGAAGAAAATACATGTGAATGAGAGTTGGAAGAATGACCCACCAATGGTAATGAAGCACTAATATACATACGGGAACACAAATGTAAACACGTCCGAGAGACGTTTCACAATGAATAATTAGTGATGATGAAGTAGTAATGAGTAAAATCTTAATCTAGACATACCGCAGAACTCCAGAGGGAAGCTGACCAAACAACAAAGCACAGCACTCTTAACAAACACTGGAGATTTGTTGTTGAGGGAAAAAGGAGGCCGTGAGTCTAGACGGCTGTTCTTTACCACTCCTAAGCACCCACTGTTTTCATAATGCTGCAACGCCTTATCAAAGAGAAGACGCAAAAAGATACCCCTGACAAATCCCAGTTGTGATATCTTTTGTACTCCCCTGATCTCAGCGAAATCAAAGAGCAACTAGCTGTTGTTCTGGCTGGCGCGGTGTCCTCTACAACAGAACGGACAGGAGTAAAACATTTTGCTCAGCATGTCTCACAGTCTTGACGAGATGTGCTCAACTCCCCCGCTCTTGGATGAAGGACTTTTTTTTTCATCTAACACGAGAGGTCACTTTTGATACTTGACCACAAGTGCTGCCTGTTTATCATGCTGACAGGCCCATAAATTGGACCATGTCTAAACTAATATAGATAAATCTGAAAAGCACATCTTTTTTTTCCCGACCTTCAATACATACTTAGCCAGCGTTTTCCAGTATCTAAAGCTTACCACATGTAGATCCATCTTTATTATTTAGGTCATGGAATTGGAGGTGAATGAGGTCCGTCCTCTCATGAATGACACTTGTTATGGAAAGCTTGCAGTATGGAGGGAAAAATAAATACTCAACATTGCTATTTCTATTTTTACTTTACTTTCGCTTGTCTAATACCTTGAAGCTGATATGGATTGAATGTTTGGTTCAGGGACACTTCAGCAGAGGGCAGGCTAGGATCTGGATATTTTTGTTAAAAGGGAATCTTCTGAATCACTGTTGTCCATGTTGCTTGAATTGTTCAGATCTTTTTCACATCATCAAGCTATTCCCTGCTCGTATACAAAATTATACATGAGACCATTCAGAACTTAACTTATTTCTTAAGAAATAGTAATTAGTACGTTTCTAAAATGTTTGCTTGCATTTTAAATGTACTTTGATTAGATACTCCGCCATCATTGTAACTACACTGTAGATCTGATAGATGTGATTGGTAATAGATTGCTTATCTCATCTAAGTGTCAAGTCTCTTCAAATGAATTGTCATAACATGATAAACTGAACAGAAATTAGTGTCTGCCTGAGAAGTAGGCAAATGCCTTCATCAGTCTAAGATGTGGATGTGTTTTAGACAGTACACTTCAAGAGCATCCAAATTAGACTTTTTATGACAAATTGGACATGCTTCTGAGACAAGACTAAACTTGTTGCAGGCGCAATAACAAATCAACTTTTGATTCTACACAGAAATTAAGGGGGCTCTGAGACCGATGATTCACATCATAACAAATTAGAAGGGGATCCCTAATTTGTAGAAATGTTGATTTATGCATACTGTATAGAGTGTGTGCAGTAATTATATATTTGACAGGTAGTTTTGTATTCCATCTGGAAACAATGTGTGTATTTAACATCTGCAAAGGTTCCAATACCTATATCTTTTTTAATATGACTCTTTGCATCTCTGCCAGCCTGACTCTGTCTGCGCAAAACTGTTCGCTCATTCCCATCACATAGCGAGCGCAGGCCGAACATGACAGACTGGTAATGACTTGAGTATGAACACACACACACACACACTCACATAGACACACTCATACACACATACCAGCTGCTCCTTTCCTCCTTTCTCATCAAACTTGTCATCAGCTCTGCCAGTTTGTCTCGTCTCACATTAAGAGCTCATGAATAATGTGTGATTACCAGAGACCCTCCGAGCAGCTCCTGAATCTACACACAAACACACACTAATTCACAAAGTCCAACATATCATGTTCATATTTACATCTCCTGTCATTTGCCCTGCTACTCCCTTTTTTTTATTATTTCCCCTCTCTCTCTCTCTCTCTCTCTCTCTCTCTCTCTCTCTTTGTCATACACTGTTTCTTTGTCTCTGCAAGTGCACAAAACTACACAGGTATTAAGTGCACACAAACTGAAAGCCAGTTTGGTGGCTCAAAGGAACCACAGGCACCAGGGAAAGGTTAGGGAGTTACCCCACCACGCTAGGCAGGTCTCTCTCTCTCTCTCTAACACACACACACACACACACACACACACACACACACACACACACACACACACACACACACACACACACACGCACGCACGCACACACACACACCAAGGTGGATATATCAAGACCTGCGCGTTTTCCTACCGGGGAATCACTGGCTGCGGTTGGACATAGCGGTCCTCTGAAGACTCCCTTAACGCGCCGAAAGTGTCCATTGCTCAGGTGTGTGGAGCTGATAACCAGGTAGTAACATGCGCTGCACGCCATCCCAGGGGCCTCGCGGGGCTCTGGGCTCATATACGATGGTCCCTGTTTCTCTGCGTCGGGTCCTCGTGTCGGCAGTGTCCCGGTTGTCCTCAAAGTAGGGTCCTGCACGGATGTTGTGCAGGAGCCGCTGCAACGGTGGAAGTCTCACTCCTGTCCTTTATTGGGAAGTCGGTGGCTGCATTTAAAAAAGAAGACAATGTGTAAAGTGGGAGAAGACATGCCTGCTTATGTGATGTGCGTGCGACTGAGAGAGAGTGAACTAAAAACTAACAGAGAAAACATTGACAGTCTGAGAGACAGGAATGTTATACTGACCGAGTTGTGTCGCTGGAGTCTGCGCTTGGCATGCTGTCGTCGGTCGGTCTCAGATAAATGAAAGAGCGCCTGTGGAGTGCCAGAGGAGGAGAGGAATTAATCCAATCTCTGTTTCACGCACTCTCTCACCTCCCCCCCCCCCTCTCCGTGGCTCACCCTGCTCTCCCCTCTTTCTTTTTCTGTCTTTTTCCCAGTCCACTGGTCCAGTCTGTAAAGTGTGTGCAGCCTGAGCCAAGCAGCAGCGGCAGCAGCGGCAGCAGCGGCAGCAGCAGCACCCCAATTGGGCTTCTCAGCGAAGACAACCGGAGCAGGCACTCTCGCAGGTGCGTCTCTGCTTTACGTCGAAGAGGAAAGAAAGAGGGAACATCTGAACCCCTTTCTCTCCCTATTTTCACGATTGAGGTTTAAAATCACCCGTATAGTGAATATACTATTCCAGCGGTTCGAGGTGGAAGAGACGGTCCATTCACCCAGAGCAGTCATGTAGTTGGGCTGCGCAGGCTGAAGTGGTTCCTTCTCAAGGAACACACACACACACACACACACACACACACACACACACACACACACACACACACACACACACACACACACACACACACACACACACACACACA